CATTTACTTAAACCAGAAATCTGTGAGTCCCCTGTCTATCACCCTCTAAAACTACTAAGTTCTGTTCAGTAGATCTCTCAAATGTTTCTCATACCCATGACATTGCCATTATATTAATACAGAGGAAGAGGAGGCATCTAGGAAGACTAGACAGACAGAGGTTGAATGAGAAGAGAAAGATCTAAGTAAGATCGGCTTAAACATATGCACCAAGACTTAGACCAGCTACAGCTTTGTTGTTGTTTGTTTGTTTTTGAGAGAGGGTCTTGTTCTGTCACCCAGGATAAAGTGCAATGAGTGGCACGATCATAGCTCCCTGCAACCTCGAATGCCTGGTCTCAAGCAATCCTCCCACCTTGACCTCCCAAGTGCTGAAATTATAGGCAAAGCCACCACACCTGGCCTCACTTTTTAGTCTGGAAGATTGGCAAGATGGAAGCAAAAAAACCAGGAATGAAGAGAATAAAACTGTCAGATATGTGCCCACATTTTTGGAAGTCCAGGTTTCATCTCAGAGGGTGGGAGTTAGGCTGGATAACTGCATGTAATCCTGAGGGCCCTACCCTCTTCTCATTTGGGGCTCAGAAAGATGCTGCCCTGAAGACTACCCAATAACCATCTAAAAGACAAGTGTACCGAACTGGCTGTGCTGTGGGATCAGGCCACGGAAGGCTCAGAGGTTTATCTTTCCCCAGCCTAGCCTGAATGCTGGGGTGGGGTGGGTGGTAGACAGCAGGTGGCTCTGAGGAAAGGGCTGGGCAAAGGTTACCATCATAGCCACACTTCAGAGACGTCTTGGGTAGCATTAGAGTCAAAGGAGGCCAAATTAGACAGGAAACAAAGAAGTAGCTAACAGCTACAATTCTGAAGGCCAGCTGGATATTCAGAGACCAAGAAAACAAGGAACATGGCCGGGCATGGTGGCTCACGCCTGTAATCCCAGCACTTTGGGAGGCCAAGGTGGGTAGATCATTTGAGGTCAGGAGTTTGAGACCAGCCTGGCCAACATGGTGAAACCCCATCTTAAAA